GCCTGTACATGGCCATATACTAAACAAACTACAGAGCCCATTCCGTGTCCTGTTATGGTTTACTTCCTCTCTGCCTTCTTCTGGTGATTTATCTGACGTCCAGCGCTTCGTTTTTTAACCTGTTTTCCTTTCTCTTTCTTGATCCTCCTTAGAAATCTTCATTATAGTCCTTGACAGTGGCCTGCACTGGTGTATTAACAACGTGTCACATGTTAAGAATTTACAATCAGAATCGAGTATTCAACTAAGCCGTGTAATAAAAGTTGTTAGTAGCCTTAAGGACCTACAGTTGTTATGCTATACCACATTGCCCTTCACTGGATGTACAATAACTACATTTTAGCATTTAAAATACCTAGCCATTCTTTTGCGGTTATTTTGGTGAAAGTAACTCAAAAGTAACTAAAGTAGTGTAACTCATTACATTTCAGAGACAGTAATATTGTAATGTAACTTATTACTTTCAAAAGAGAGTAGCCTAATAAGTAATATGTAATATATTACATTTTGGAAGTAACTTGCCCAACATTGCTAACATTGCGCGAAAAAATGAATAGATTCTCCCTTTGACAGGCTAGACTCTAGTAGTTACTACATTATTCAGAAGTTTACAGTAACTTTGGATAATAACACGGCGGGTTTAATAAACGGAGCCTCTCTTTTCCTCTCCCCCTCTCCACCTCTCCTGACAGCCCATCTGTATCATGCAGCTCGCTGATCCAGTGAATGAGTGAAACATATTTATAACTGGTTTAGCTAGTTCCAGGGGTAGATGAGATTGGTAAATGTGATAGGTCTAACTTTTAACAATTTTAAATATTTCTAGTTACTAGGGATTTCCGCCGCAGGTTTGAATTTGCGTAACATTTGCGCGACTTGTCCACATGCAACTGTCACAGGGGTTGTGCTGCAGTGCAGAGACATGGCTGAGTCATCAACAACAGCTATAGCTTTCGAGGGGTGGAGGTATGCACATTATTTTACATTTGTCTGAAGAAAGGACAGGAATGTGACGGTAAGGTGCACTGTTGAAAACACAGCATCAAACCTCTCCAAGCACCTGCAAAGGCAACATGCTAACATAAAGCTAGTAGCTAAAGACCCCTGAGCCCAGAGTGATGATGTTGAGTGTGTGCCGACTCCGAACAAGCAGCACAAACTAGAATTGTCACTGTTATTAACTTGTGTTATGTCTTCTTTATTACAATAGTAATAGTGTGAACATTTGGCCTAAGTTTTAAGTTTTGGCTACACAGTAGGCTGTTGCTGAGTAACGCAAAAGTAATGTAAAGTGTAATGTAATGAGTTACTTTATGTAGAGAGTAAAGAAGTAAAGTAATATATAACTTCTTTTTTCTTTTTTTAAGTAATGAGCAATGTGTAATACATTACTTTTTTTGAGTAACGACCCCACCACTGATTGTGACCTATTGCCAAGAGTAAAGATGTTGACACTCCCACTACTGTTTGTTCAAAATAAATGAATACAAAAAAACAAAAAAACATTTTTAGCAGTGTTTGCCTTTATAGAACGGTGTTTCAGTCTTTTACACTCAGCCATGATTGCTCATCCTATTGCAGCTCTAACCAGACACATCCCCCTTTGTGCGGAGTCGAAATTACTGGCTCCAGTAAAAAGTGCGATCCATTCTCCAGACTCGAGAAACTCCCTTTAGAAATCAATTGAGGAGGTCTCAAAATGTATATTGTAATGTTTATACTTAGAAAATGCTTACCTCCACAGGGTAACGATGACCATTAATGCTGTGTTCGGAACCTTCAGATCCATTGTTAGGACCCCAATGAAACTCCACTTTTTCTGCCTTAAACCTCCCTGGTAGGCCTGCTCCCCGAACAAAGTAGTCATCCTTTAAAATAATGGCGACTGGAAGAAAGACAAAGACAAAGATAGAGCGACAAAGAGTCATAATTAATTTCATTTTACATTTTCTACATACATACAAAGTTAAAAGTACATTTCAAAGAAATAGAAGACATTGATGATTGTTGTTTAAGAGGATATATTCTGCTCATGTTCAGTATTTAGTGTCTGTACTGCGACATCTTTCCATGCTTTAATGTTAAAAAATGATGTGCATTTTTCTCATATTTTCCCATGTATCTTTTCTCTGAAAGGATTCCTGTGTTCCTTTACCAGTGGAGCCATAGTTCATCAGAAAGTTCTATCCCATTTATAGAGACAGCACTTTACATATTGAGCTTACACACTGAGCTTATGATTGTTATTAGTGTAGAACATGAAAATGCAAAAGTAATATAAGAAACAACGGCAGTCAGAATATCAGACAGGATGTAAACACAACAACAGTCTACCCAGATTAATAGAACCCCTCATTTGGAGGTCAACCTGAATGTTAGTGCTGGCTTGGTCTTTAGGGTACAGCTTTAGATTAGTTTTATTCCTATCTTTGTAATAGGAAATATGTTGCCGTTGGTGACTTTATATCTGAAGCCTCACATTTCTCCACTAAAGTGCCTCAGGGCTCAGTCCTTGGTCCTTTTTTTGTTCTCCGCGTTTATGTTACCTCTAATCTTTCATAACCAACACGTGAGTTTGATTTTTATGCACAATATACTGTAACAGGTCTTAAACACAACCGTGCCTCAAAAAAACAAAAAACAGGCTCTCTCTTAACTCAGAAGATTTTGCCATGTAGGATTTGATAACTCCCATGGTGTCGCTCTGATGCTGCGTCAATGCTTCAGCCAAGCGGAAAAGGGCGTGGTTAAATCTCTACTTGGTTGAAAAAACAAAAGCCGCAGCCAGGACACTCTTAAAGGTTCCCAAGTAGGAGGTGGGCATAATGTTGTGGTGTTCGGAGGCCCGGCTCTCTACAGACAGCTGGGGCAGAGTGACACTTGGTTGGGGATGTGCATTTGTTTGACTGGCTGAGGTCAACAGCAATGATATCTGACTTGTTCACACAGGAGCTGTAGATACAGAGTTTGTGCTGGCAGAGTGGGACCTCACAGCGCACTAGTCATATACAGTGTATACTTATTATATATTTTACAGTTGTATTAGCGACATTCCCTTTTAAGTTGGTCTTTTAAACTTTATTATTACCTTTATTATTCCCTTTTTTTAATTTTTTTATTTAATATTACATTTTTTAATTGTATAGGTTTTTATATATCTATGTATTTTGTCTTATGTCTTCCTTCATTTTACCATGAGGGATCAGTATTATTTTTTTGTTTTATTTATCGTACCTTTTACCTCCTTGTGTCCCTTACACTGTTTATCTGTTATTTTATGTTGCTATGCTTTATGTGTACAAAAAGGTTTCACCGTCTGACCTGAAGTGTATTACTTCTTTCTCTGTTGTCATTGTAAAGTGTGCCATGTTGTTAAAGCACTTGAGCTGCACGTGGTGTATGAAAAGTGCTATTCAAATATAGCTTTATTGTTATTATTTTAAATAATTGTCATATATGGCAAGAGAGTTGCAAGAGATAAATATGTGGTTTTGTAATGTCCCCCCATGCGTCCAGGATCTGAGTACGAGATGAGACCTTCAGGTGCCAAGGGGCCCACCTTTCATACCAGCTCTTGGGGAATAATTTTAAACCTTAACATGAATCAATAAATAACTTTCTAAGGGTGTTCTCGTTATTCAGGTGTGACAGGGCTAGCTGTAGGGCAGAGGTAATGGGACCCCCTGAGGACCTCTGGGGGCCATATGATAACTGGATGGGGTCAATTGACAGGTGACAGGATCTCAAAGCAATTCATGATCATTTATGTGACAGGGAGTTTGTCACTGAGGCAGGACACACTCTTCTGCACTGGGATGATGATGATGGTGGTGGTCTGAGATATGGGGAAGATGTTGGCACATCAGCCAGCTGGTCGGCCCCTCTCTGAGCACACAGTGAAGCACCTGGTTGGATCCTGCAGCATTGTGTGGGTGGGGGGGGTCTGTCTTCCAGGTCGGCATGTTGTTAAGGGTTCTGCGTTGAAAAGAATTCAGTGTATCTGGAACCTAAATCATTTTATATCTGTTTGATGGAGCTGTAGATATTATTCTTATGCTTTGAGTATTGAAGCTGCCGGTTAAATATGTTCAGCAAATTGAATAGCATTTTGTCTTAAAGCGCCAAAAATTATTAATAAATAACACTGGAATCACCAAGTGGGTCATTTTTTTCCCCTGCGTTATCAAGACCCATACATTTCTAACTTCATGCATTTTCCTAAATGTAGTATATTTACATTCACATTTTGACCCCACAAAGAAACAGCTGTATATTATGTTGTGTCCGTTTTATTAAATGGTTTGAAACAACTTGTTTCCATCCCATCGATAACATGTTGATGACTCCACGTTCAATTTAAAGAAGTTGAAGTTGAGCCGTGAATAAAACTACTGTGAAGACTCTGAATTGGGTTTGTTCTGCAGGATATGTGTGTGTGTGTGGGGGGGGTAATCCACCGCCTCCCAGCCTGCCTTCACAGCTTCATCACAGCATATCAAGCAAGTGATCCCTCCACAGATAAAACACTTTTAGATACAGTCTATTCACAGTTTGCGAAGAAAATGCAGGGACATTTGTCTCTTTAGATACATTATTTACGGGGGAGAGCTGAAGCTTCACGCCAGTTTGCTATGCAGCTGTTTCAGTTTGCATTTTTACATGGCTCTCGACATGCACCCAAAATCCATTCGAATGATGCTCTGCTGAATGTGGTACTTTGCAGGTGGCCATCATCATCATCATCATCATCCATTTCTGGGTGGCCTTCGGAGGATGCTCTGAGCTGCTGAAGGAGCCTCTGCATCAGACGTGTCAGGGTATTTGTCATGCTTTGATGGGGTCTCTCCCTGCCTGTGTCTCTCACTCCTATCCCTCTGTTTTTGCCAGCGGGTGTCAGCGCTGGTGATCCTCTCCCTGAAAGTCCACTCATCGGTCCACTTCCACATTGTGTCCGCCTCGCCTGATGAAGCTACCTGCACTCAGACAAACTGATGTCTCACATCTCAACAACGTATTGCCATGATGCTATGACTGGGAGCTGGACAGGACATTTACTCACTCGCTGTGACCTTAATCAGTCACTGAAAATTGGGAAGGAAAACAGTTAGGCTATGGAAACAAGGCCGCTGGGGGAATTTGCAAGCATGGAAGGATACCCGAGACTTTAACTATTCTGTCCTTCAATGAACAGACTGTCATATGCCAGTTTGAGTTATACTTGCCGTGAGGTTAATTTACACAATGTCTAAACATGTCAAAGCTGAATATGACACTAGTGAGTCAGGTTTGAAAAATAAAAGACAACATTTTACTTTAACTGTGCTCAAGGAGTGAGCAAGGCAAGCTGTTTCCAGTGCTCTGCAGTGTTTGTGGTACGTTATATACATACTGTAGCTATCACTGTATAGGACAAATAATAATATAATGATATGTTTTAAACAGCAAATGCTAGGTGTGTTTCTTTAATTTGTTCCATCACACTCTTCTAAGGCTGACGTGTGAGTCCCAGTGAGGAAGCAAATGACATCTCTGAGGCAGCTTTGTGAGTGGGAAGGTGTAACGCAGGTGAACACTCCAGGTGTTGGATGGTCTGGGTGATCTGTTTCTTGTAAATCATAACACTCAGCTAACATCTGAAAAACAATCCTGCATGCAGTAACTCTTATGGTGCTTCCACAAAGGATGCAAAGCAGAAATGTGCATCTCTTTACTCACGCAATTTTGGTCAAAAAGTGACATCTGATTCACATAATCCAACCTTTTTTATTTATTATTTTTGTACTGCTGTCTTGACCAAACTGTTGTCCATGTCCAAATACTATGGACAAAGACACAGAGTGTTGTCCATGTTCAAATTCTACGTGTTGCTACCTGTAATTAAGGCTAATAGGATAAGCTTTAATAAAACAAACACCCTAGTGAAGTTACAGTAAACCGACAAACAATTGGCAATTTATTGAGATGTGTCATCACAATCCTTCTCAATTGAGCAAACGATAGGATGTAAAACATTATAGCGCTTAACACACAGCTGTGCTCTGGGCAGCACTCAGAGTGCTGTCAACAGCTCTGCCAACCACCTGTGGTCTTTGCCTCTCAAAAGCCTTTCAACTCCATTTCTCTACTGTGGGGAAGGATCATCCATCTTAGTGACAACCTGGAATTGTGAAAAATACATGTGTCTGGCGAGGAGGGTCCTCGAGATGCCAAAGAGCCCAACTCAGAGGGCACAGCGCTGAATCCCACAGGCACTGACACCTGCCATGGCACTTCTACTGAAATGGATGCAGCATGTCTGAATGATAATGGGATGTGTAATCTCATCATAAATGACTTGCTGCATATTGTACCTGTCTTGTTTTATAATCATGAGCTCGGAGGTGATGCAACAGATGTTTGACATGCAGACACCTGCCAATACGAGCCGGATTATTATCTGTGTGACACTTCAGCTTCCATTCCCTCTTCTCTGTGGTCTGACACAGCATGGTAACAAACATTATGTCGTTAAATCTGGCATGACTCTTAACTAACTGCTCATGTGGGGTTTGTGACTAGATATTATTATAATGATAATAATACTAATAGATTACACAAGAACAAGAACAAATAAACAAACAAACACACAAACAAAAGGGGCAAATAATGAAGTAAAAATTAAATACATAGCAGTAGGCGTGGAAGCAAGGGGACTGTGATGGGTTAGGGGTCAAAGGCCATGGTGAAAAGGTAACTTATATTTATTTTACAATACAGGTTTTTTTAACAAGTTTTCCATTAAATAACTACCAGTTCTGATGCAATTGTACTCAATTTGAAGGTCAGGAACAGGCAACATGACATTGTAACTTAATAAATGGAAGGGGTCATTCAGGGGTTGTAGTTTGTCATGTCCAACATTGGACAAATGGTACACAATTAAGAATCAGCTGATGGTCCTCCCAAGTTTCAAGGCAATTAGACCAGAAAATGTCAATCTATTTTATTCTGGACCAAAGACAAACAAACTAAAAGTTCAAATAAAAAACAATCTTGTCACTAGTGGGGCCAGTTACAAACTATGTGTGTGAAAAACTGGGAATAAAGACGACCTAAAAAGGTCTCTAAAATGCTTAACAAATCTCGACAACACATATTTTTCGCTAACAAGTACTGTACTTAAAGGTGGGGTATGTAATTCACTTCAGAAACACTTTTTGTTATATTCCATGGAATGCTCTTAACATCCCGATAGCCATTAATACAGTATATTAAATGCATTGACAAAAAATCCATAAAAAAATGTAATCTGTGGAAGCTGTAGTACTGTAAAAAGCACGACCAATCATTTTAGCCGGCCCGGCTAAAATAACTGGAAGGCCTACCTGCCTGTCAGCCTTCCATCTGTGCACAAACTTATCTCGTGCCCTCATTGGTCATGTGCGCGTTCGTGTGTGTTGGAGGAAGGGCTCTGTAAGATACTTGCCAACCTTTAGACCTCAGGAATCGGGAGCTGTTAGATTAACATTAACATGCTTATTGTAGTTGTAAGTGCACTGACTTGCGGCCTGTAGCACCGTCCTTGATGGAGCATATGTGTGGGCTGGACCTGTATTTTACAGGAAAGGAGTGAGCAGTTGTCGATTCTTGTTCTGTTTTCTGTGAATATCTGCCTCACCCTCTCATACTTTGAGTTGCGCGCGCTACTAAAGAGACGTGTTACCATGGAAACCAAACAATGGTGTAGCCGTATTAAAGTCAGAGTGGAAACAGTCGTGTGTAAATCTGATTTTGTCAGAAATCGGGAGAAATAAGGGAGAAATATGACCCCGGGAGGAAACCGGGAGAGGGCAATGAAATCGGGAGGGTTGACAAGTATGTTGTCAACTAACCATTCAGAAACCTCCTGCTGCAACCGAGATGTTTGCACCTCCACCAAAACCTCCGCTGCTTCAGGGTCAGTTTCTGGATCAAATTGATAATATGCTTGAACACATGCATTGCTCTGAGATGACATGTTTATTCCACACTCGTAATCACAGCAAACATGGTAAAGTGACTCTCGCCGGCTCATGCCCCCCTCTTCTGCAGGGGGGCGTGGTCAGCTGCTGCTCAGAATTTTCAAAGACAGGCTTGGAATAGAGCGAAAATGAGCGAAACGAGGCATGGCTAAAAAATGATCTGTTTGGTATTTTGAAAAATAAAATGTATAAATATACCTTATATAGGTATGGTCATACACTATATCATTTAAATATAGCATGATATCATAACATGATGATAGCATGATGATCCCATGGAAATGTACCGCCCCTTTGCAACCCTACTAAAAACACAGGGCTTTTTTCTTTCTTGCAATCTTTCAGCACTCTTACTATTACTCAGCTGCTGACACTCCCTGTCAGATGGTTTTATAGTCCACTTGCAATAATTAAGACTGGGATAGCTGTCCAAATATGTCCAATCGCCACAAGAACACGGAGAATATGCAGTGTGTTGTCAGTGGGCTTAGCTCAAGACTAGCACTGGGGAAGCAGGGGGACACCATTAGCAGACACGAGCTGAACTATATCACAATCAGCCATTCTTATATTGTTTAGCCCTATTTGCAATTGTACTCTGCATTCCACCAGGGAAAGGAATAGAAATAATAACACTTGCTGTATTGTTACATTATGCATCTCAAAGTGTATAGCCCATTAGACACGTTTAATCTTTAAAGTTTAAAGCATCTGCTGTTCTGTTTAGCAGTTAGCTCAAATGACACGAAGACCCTCCACATAACTAACCAAACACATCTAGAAATGATCCAGCTGCCCTCATTCTACCCTCTTCTGTGTTGTAACAGGTGGGAAATTAAATGTACATAATGTTTTACTGAATTGCAGCACACAAGCTTGGTACAAAATGAAAAACTGCTTTTTTTAAATCATTGTGCAGCTGTGTTCAGAAGTCTGAACATTCAAAAGGAAAGGCCTCACTTTAGAGAAATCCACAAAAGAGATGCCCTTGGTGACCCAACAAGCAGCACATTTGTATGAAACTAGCCTTATATTCTTGGGAGGAGATGCACTTTTAGGGCTTACCTCTCTCATCTTGGTCTCGGGGCACTCGGAGTGCAGCGTGAGGGTGGCCCCCTCAATGTTGCGCGGCATACGGGTGGAGCCTGGATTTATCGTGAACTGGATCTGGTCTGGAGAAATAGTGTGGTGCACATAACCCTGTGACATCCCAACAGGGTCCGACATAAAAACCATAGAGCCATCCTCCTCATCTGCTTCCCCTTCAGTGAGGAAGGTGACCCCTTCCTCCTCCCCTCCACAGTGACCCTCCTCTTCACCTTCTTCATCTAGCCGGATAGGGTCCCGCTCAATGAGTACTGTGGTGCGGTCGTACACCCGACCAGATGACGACGAAGACTCGCCGAGCAGGTTATCATCTTTGTCAAAGTGGATCTTGTCTTCGTCTTCATCTTCATCATCCCGCCCCAGGTGTTCCACCTCTACCTCAAAGTACATCGTCGCCTCAGTATGAGGACCATTCTCACTCATGGTCCCTGGTGCCTCTCCTTCTTTGGCAAGGAGGACTGCACACTCACACTGTAGACGTTACAGCCTGAAATATACATTTGAAAAAGTATTGTTATATATGAATTATGGGAAGCTTTTGAAAGACATATGAAAGCATTAAAACAGTACTTAAAATACACAATGTGGTGTAGGAGGCTCATTCCAGGATTTAAAAAGAGTCTTATTTAAGTGTTGACTATGTTTTATATCATTAACCCATATTTGTAAACTAACTTTAGGCATTACATAAATGTAGGAGAGTAAAAGTACAATATTTACCTCTGAAATGACCTACTCAAGTACCTCAAAATTGTATACAAGTGCATTACTTGAGTAAATGTACTTGGTTACTTTACACCACTGCTGGCGAGACACATCCTAAAATATGTGTGCTATGTCTAGTGCAGGGCTTTGATAATACACTCAACACTAATGTAAACACGTTAATGTGTCAATCAAAAGAAGGTTAACTATTTCCAGTAGTGAAAAGGGGAATAGTCCATAGTAAGCTAGCGATTATTAGGACACATTTTAGGGGAAACAAACGTTACTGAAACCAAACCGAGATCTAGAACTTTCTGATTTCGATGACAGTCACGAGACTACAGCAGCGGCAAAACCCAACTAATAAACATGATTATTTCTAATCAATTAAAACTCCTCAGGTTACCTTTTTATAAAACGTTATAATTCTGAAAGATGTCACATTCACACGACAATGCCAGTTTACATTTCAGTACTTGACATGGCTAGCTAACGTTTACAAACACAACAGTAGCTTGATAAACACGCAGTGATTCTCAGGTTTATAGACTGACAATACAGTAATGTTAACTTAATGTCACGGTACTTAGGTTAATATTCTTCACTGTTAACAGGCTGTATACAAAAATCTGCTGTTTGATACTGACCTGACGTTGTCTCACACAGTACATCTTGGTTACTAGCCTCAGAGATATGTCGCTAGCTTCCTGCTGCGAATATCCAACAGTAGGTCGTGTAGATTAAATAATATTATTATGAGCACTTCTTAACGTTGTGTGACTTCTTTGCACAGTCCATATAACAGTTGTATATTTAGCTTCCGCGCTCCAGAAAGCAAAAATATACGTACTAGCTTTAACGTTAGCCAAGTTATCCTGTTTTTCTCTACACATGCATAGCTTTCCTAGTTAGCAACAGTTTTGACGTACAGCTAAGCTAGGGAGCCACATCAAGCCCCCAGGAAGTGCGTCGAACGTTGAAGCAAATGTTCGTAGTGGCCAAACGGTGGTACTACAACTCACTGGGCCATTACATACTTCTTCCACATTGACTTACATTGGGGAAGAGACGTCTGTAAATCAGCGAATATATCTTGTTTAACTGAATAAACTTAACAGCACGAACAATTTCATAGCCCCTTATTTAAATCACTAGGGTCTAATCTTTTAAGTAGCGCTGAAAGCGGGGATCCAGAGTTATTTTACTTCTCTATTTATCTGACTGAACCGAGAGCTGGAGATCGGAGGCGGGGCTTAAGGAAAACTCGAGTGCGCATGCTCCATGGGCCCACATACGGGTACTTTTTGACTTCAAGCGTCAATGAGCAACTTTCATAGGAATTAACGGGGTCCCGCCTCCAACACTGTATCCCGTTCCCTTACACAGAGAGCTACATTCTGCTTCACAGCTAAGCTAGACAGTTAGCTAGAAACGTTAGCCAGTCGACACAGTTGACATAACCTATCTTCCCAGCAAAAATAACAAGTATCATGTTACCAAGTGCTAAACTTACTACACACAGCACTGCGCTAACGCTTCAGTTTAGTGGTCTCAAAAAGGAAATTACAATAACATATATTTACCTGTTAAAATGTAAGCCTTATCCCTATGCTTTGGATGTTTAGCACTTTCTTCCTATCCCCTCCCTAGGATACCAAACAACGTCACAGATTCACTCATTCGTGATGAATCATGGGAAATTAAATAGCATTACTAATGTTTAACTAAAGAACATTTTTGTATGTGACAATTCACTTTTTATTTGGCAAATTTGATTATATTGGCAACATTTAGAGAAGTGTATCCTCAGACAAACACACCTTATGAAATAACTAAACCTATTATTTTAGTGTTCTCTATTGCTGAAAAAATCACCAGAGACACAGACATTGTTTTCAACATTTTTATATATAAAACAATATGCTGTTGAAATCACAAACATTCAAATACACATTATTTTTTAAATAAAAAATACAAATAAAAAAAGGTTAGGTCTCTACAGATTTGCCAGATATACATTTTACTTTGTGCCAACATATCACAAACATTGCCATCTGTGAAACAAGCTTAGATCAGATAAGACCCGTCACTTACAATAATTATACTATATATCTATACAAAGAGCAATCTAAGAATATAAGAAATTATTCCATTGTTATTTCAATACGGGACTGTACAATTTGTAGTGTTCAGCTTCAGCGTGAAGGGCAAGGAGAAGTCCTCCATCTAGGAGGAGCCTTAGGCCAGGAAGTGCTGGAAGAACTCCTGAGTCTTCCTCTTTTCTGCAAAATCCTGCTTCGTAGGCGACTTCAGGAGCAAGGAGGCAAAGATGGTGGCTATGCAGAAAGAAAAACAATTATTCATATTGCATCCCAGAATATAATATCTTGATTAGCAGTGACTCTTTTTTTTGTGGAGAGAGAGATATGAAGAAAGACGATTTAATACATTATTAATTAGATAAATTAAAATATCATATGTACGTTGCAACATTTAATTTTGTTCTATAGTTTATTTCATAATCAACCACTATTTTGGGTAGGTTAGGTGAACGTACTTTCTATTTAACAGAAACTAATTGTTTTAATATTAAGTATTAAAACATATTTAGTGCAAACAGTCCTTGAGTCATAATCAAAACATAATATTAAAGTGCACCTATCATGCTATTTTTAGGCAATAGCATAGGTCTCAGATATATAAAGATATATAAAAAACATGTCTATGAAGTGTTTTGTTCAAAATACCAAACAGATCGCCCATTCTAGCCATGCCTCATACCCCTCTATTTCACTTCCTGTTTCAAAAGTGCTGATTTTGGGTATAAAGTTTTAAAAAGAAAAAAAGATTTGATAAGAATAAAAAAGGAGGGGGCTGGGCTCATGCGGGACCCGGCAGCTACTGTCTAAACTAAATACTGCGGTGATTAAACGCCATATCATGGATTATCAAGGATTATCTCTGAAACAGTATGGAGCTCAAAGGCTTGCCGGTTATACCATAAGGTGAGTTCCTTTTTATTTCCTGCTTCTTCACACACATGCTCTTTCCAGTACAAGGTTAGCTCTGAGTGTTAGCGATGCTAACGTAAACGCCGACCATATTACGTCCAAAACAGTCGGGCATTGTTTCTGATAGCAACTTTCTGATAGTGCCGTGGGTCCACATTTCAGATATTACGTCATATCGGACGCAAATCTGGATCAGCTCCGTTGTACCCACTTTTTTAGAGATTTGGGTACGGAGGAAAAGAGAGAGGGTTTTATTTTCTGACGCTGCGTGAGTTCCCCGACACACCGGGGACACATATTTATGTATAACAGACATCAAAAAGTGCATTTTGCATGATAGGTCCCCTTTAAAAACAGGATTTTCATTCATTTCACTTTCCTATTTGTCAGTTTCTCTTCACTTTTTCAACATGCTGACTAAAGCAAAAGGCATCAGCTCAAAAATAACACACGCACAAGTGAAAGAGACTGAAATGCGACACGCTTCCTTTTCTTACCCAAGATGTTGACATCTAATCGATTGGTAGCAGAATTCTTCAACAGCTCACGGAGAAAGGCAGCTAAATAGTTGAACACATTTTTATGGCACTGAGGTAGCATGGAAATGATCTGAAGACAGAAAAAGCATATTTTAAAAAGGATAATGATTTACTTGCATAATTTAACATAGTAATTGATAAATAGTGATCACAGATTAACCACATGAGGTCTTACTCACTTTCTCACACTGACTGGCATTGGAGCAGCTTTCTAGGCACTGCTGGTAAAAGTAGAAAGGAATCACAGGCTGCGGGAGGGCATCTAGGAAGAGAAGCAAGGCCTCTGCTACCGAGTGGTTACTGCCCGCTGCACGACAATACAGAGTCAAGGACAAAATACTAGCGCAGAGTCTGCATTTTTGTTAAATGTTTAGCTGCAAAAAAAGTGTGTAATACACTGTTACATTCCATTCGTTTAAAAAGTCCAGCCTCACCATGAATAAGAAAACAACCCAGTAAGAAATACTGTTGCAAGTGCTTTCATTTGGCAGAAGTACCCGTGTGCCTTTTGTGCTACACTGTTCAAATGTAATACACATACACAAGGCTGTTTTCGATTGATAGTAATGATTGCAACAGTGTTGAAGGATACGAAGAGAATCTGGAATGCCAGTATCAAGGCAATCCCTTATCACTGCAAATTCACTCCGGAGCCCAGGTTGCTGAAATATGTCTTCCTGCAAATAGAGGACAGAAACATTCAAACTTTTGTTTTTGAGGTGCAGTGGAGCTGCAATAGACTTAATTACAATGGTTAAAAAGGACAATGGTAAGTTTAAATTACTAGAAATAGAGATTAATTCTATTAACCACATGAAGACCACTCAAAACAAAGATCTACGCATCAGTTTTTCTTCCGATTTGTTTTGTAAATCTTTTGTGGACTCATCGAAAATCTTTTTTGTATAATAATAATAATAATAATAATAATAACATAATTCAATTTAAGGATATAACCCCGCATACAAAAAAAATGCTCCAAAAGAACCAAATCGGACTATAGTGTTCTTTGATTTGATTAAAAGGAGAACATTTTGTTTTGTTTTCTCACCTGTTTGAGTGCACTGCGGAACAAGTGATCCACCATCATCCACAGTTCTTTAGGAATGTCTAGAGGCTTTTCTGTGTTTTCAGCGTTCTCATCTCCAGACTTCTCCGCCTGATGTTAAAAACAAACCGATCAAAGAGAAGCAATTCAGTCAAATGGATTCAACAGTTTCAAATCAAACATGAACTGCCAATACATTTAAACTACTATGCTGTGGCCTATAAGACAACTCTGAATGGAGAAGAGGTAGTTCAAGGACACCGTCGCTGCTCTGGACATGGGAGCACTAACCATTTCTCGAAGAGTCTCTTGTGGCATGTCCTGGATTGGCTCCTTAAGCTGACACAATGAATGGATGGAGGAACCGTAGCAGCTGGGCAGGTAGTTTCCTGAGATAGAAATGAAGTAGTCCTTCCCACGCTCCAAGTGGAGCACCAGGATGTCTTCGATCTGCTCCTGGCCAGAGTTAAGTTCAGGCGCGGTTGAACGGTTTACAAAAACCTCAAAGTCAATCTCCACAGTCCCACCTGGAGGTCGAGAGAGACGCACATTAACGTAAAGGGGAAAATAAACGGGAAATCTACTGGCCCAAAGTCATTTACTTCTTGCCATTTCACAAATGGTTTCATTTCTAAGATGCTATGAAATAACAAAGACTTAAGTTAATTGTCAGGTAGAATCTATTTTTGAGTTTCACCCACATCCTCTAAAGCAGGGGTGGCAAACTCAAGGCCCGGGGGCCAAATCCGGCCCGCGACCTAATTTGATGTGGCCCGCAAGAGCTTGCAAAGAATATAATATCCAATACAATTGGTGTAATTGTTGAATATTTACTTTCAATTATTTGCCCTAGACTTTTGCTTTCAGACGTAGTTATTTAGGAAGATATTACCAGAACTGATAATAATCCAATGCAGGCTCAACAATGTAATATAATACATGATTTAATATATATTATATATTTACATATGTATATTTATATATCATTAAAATGACAACCGGCCCTTTGAGTGCAACCATAATGCTGATGAAATTGAGTTTGACACCCCTGCCGTAGAGGATGCTATTGCAGTAGTCGACTCGTGATGTGATGAATGCATGAATCAGAGTTTCAGCAGCAGAGGAGGAGAGTGTTGGGCGGAGACGGGGCAATGTTTTTGAGGTGGAAAAAGGCGGTCAAGGTGATGTGATTGATGTGGTGATTGAATTTGAGCTGACTGTCGAAGATGACTCCGAGGTTGGAGATAGTTGTTTGGATCCATGCTTTTATTTCTGAGAGACAGTTGGTGAGAGTGGAGTGTGTTGTGGAGATGATGGTTTTTGTTGAGATATAAAGTTGGATGTCATCGGCGTAGCAGTGAAATTGAAGGTTGTGGCGACTAATGATTTTGCCAAGGGGGAGCATATAGAGGATGAAGAGGAGGGGCCAAGCACCGAACCCTGGGACGGCCTTGGGACAGAGGAACAGTGGAGGAGGTGCTGTTATTGATGTGATAAACTGATGTCTGTCGGTGAGGTAGGATTTCAGCCAGGAGAGTTGTAGTGTCGTGAGTTGAGTGATGATTCGAGGAGGGAAAGCAGGATGGTGTTGTTTATGTGTCTAATGTGTCGGTGAGGTCGAGGAAGATGGAGGATGTTTCAGGTTGCGGAGTCAGAGAAGAGGAGGAGGTCGTTTGTGATTTTGAGAGGAGCTGTTTCGGTGCTGTGTTTGATCGGAAACCGGATTGAAATGGTTCAAATAGGTAATTGAGCTGAGGTGGCATTTTAGTTGTGAGGCAATGACACGTTCAGTATTTGGACGGAAAGGGGAGATTCTGAGATGGGCGGAGTTGGACATGATGTTCGGGTTGTCCAGATCTTTGAGAGAGGGGGAACTGATCCAGATCTGAGGGAGGAGTTCATGATGTGGCGAATGAGTTGGTAGATGGCAGGAGGCTCTCTTTAACAAAATGGAGGCAATTGGGTCAAGTGTGCAGTGAGAGTTAATTCCGGTCATGAAGTTGGACAGTGCATGGGG